TTTTTTTTTTTTTTTTTTTTTTTTTTTCTGTCGTTTGAACGTGGGTCCGTATCTCAACAGTCCTGGACCAAGGGTGTTTGATAAAGGTACGCTCTGCGGGGGCCGAAGTGATTGATATATTTCGGGCGCAGACTCTTTTTCCCCACAAGCGCGAGCAGCTGAGAGATAGGACGGGCCGGAAGCGGTCTATTGCTTCGGCACCTTGGCGGAGAAGGGAGGAGAGAGAGCGCGCCTACACCCTTGGCGGAGAAGGGAGGAGAGAGAGCACGTCTACACTTGCACGCCATCCCGCAGCGAAGGCAGCGCAGGAGCGATCACTTGATGTGGAGGAAGTTGTAGAAGCGGCTGTTGAACTTCGTCTGCCTCGGAGGAGTGCTCGAGGGAGGGCACGTCGGTTGAAAGAGGTAAGGGTGGGAAAGGCGGTACAGGCGGGGGAGGGAGACACTGTTGGCTTTTGTTCCCGACCACCTTGCTCTTTACGTAGTGAAGGCACTGTTGGGAGGACGTGGACGCTGATCCGGATGGCGGGAAGAGTGTCCCGATCCGTCTCGTCCATGGCGGCTATGGCGGCACTGCTGCTACTTGCCTTAATGCAGTCCGCCATCCACGGACATGCTGCGTCCCCGGATCCTGGTACGGTCAAGATCGACAGTTTCAGTTACGCCGGCGATGGCTGCCCACCTGGTTCCACCGAGGGCGCAGTGTCCGATGACGGGCAAGCGCTCACCGTCATGTTCAGCCAGTATACTGCCTCGACAGACGCTGGCAATTCCGGTCTGAGGAAGGCGTGCACTGTGACGGCCGTGCTGAGTTATCCGCTCGGTTTCCGCTTCCACCTGGTGGACGTCACCATGCGCGGGTACGCCAAGCTGGACGCTGGCGTGACCGGCACCATTCAGACCAGTTACCATATCTCCGGAATAAGCGGGACGACACGAGCTAAGCGCGTCATCACCGGCGCGTTCGATGACAACTTTGAGTTCACGGACAGTTTCGCTGCAGCCGTCTACAGCGAGTGCAACACCGTCAGGAACCTCAACCTCGTCTCCGAAGTGCGAGTGAATCCTGGGAACGCACCGGCAAGCGGCCTCCTGACCATGGACTCTCAGGATCTCCGGCTCACGCAAGTCTTCGCCCTCGCCTGGGAGTCCTGCTAAACCCCAGGCCACTGCCACCTTGTCGGCTCAGCACGTAGCAAGGGATGGAACTAGGCTACATGCTCACGGAGCACTTTCGTAGCGAAATCTTCCTGTGCATGTCCTGGGCTGCGACTGTCGGTGTAGATTCTCTATCTCTGCAAAACGCTCGACGTGTACTCATCACTTTGTATAGGTCGGTTACTACTAGTAGTAGGCGTAGCTGGTGGAGGCAGTCGAGTACTCGAATTTCTGCTGATTTGAAGGAATTTCCATCGCTGATGCGGGAGTAACTAGATCCCAGACGGACTAGCCAAGGCATCTCTCTCTCTCTCTCTCTCTCTCTCTCTCTCTCTCTCTCTCTCTCTCTCTCTCTCT